CAATGTTAGCGTTCATTTCATGAGGGCTGGAATAAAAGAGCGGAGATGTACTGTTGAGGCTGCATAAGGCTATGGTCAGACCACATGTGGAATATTGTAAGCAGTTATGGGCCCTGTATCTAAGGAAGGATGTGTTGGTCTTGGAGGTGGTCCAGAGGAGGTCTACAATAATGATCATAGGAACAAAGGGTTGTCACATGAGGAGCGATTGAGAACGCTGGGTCTGTACTCGATGGAGTTTAGAAGGTTGAAGGGGAATCTTATTGAAACATACAGGTTCTTGAAAGGTCTGGGTAGATTGGACATGGAGAAGATGTTTTCAGTAGTAAGAGAGACTTGGACCAGAGGGCACAGCCTCAGTGAAGGGATGATCCTTTTAAACCTGAGGTGAGGAGGAATTTCTTCAGCTAGTGGTCAGTCTGTGGAACTCATTACCGATGGAGACCAAGTCAGTGTGTATTTGAGACAGACAAACAAATCGGTCTGTAAGGGGATTGAAGGGTTTCAGGGAGAGGGGAAGAGAAACACAACAGCCGAGATCAAAGATGACAAGGTGTAGAGCTGGATGAACACAGGCCAAGCAGCATCAGAGAAGCGGGAAAGCTGACGTTTCGGGCCTAGACCCTTCTTCAGAAGAGATCAAATGTCATTTATACTCTTTGGCGCAATGGAAATGTGAAACAGCTGGTACAACTATCTGTCCAGATTATAGTCAACAAACTATGTTCACCCTGCTTAAGCTGCCAGTAGCCATTGTTCTCACCTGAGTATCAGAAGACCTTTTTTGCACCTGCAAGTTGTGCCAAAAGTTTTTCAATGGTTGCCACAGGGTAGTGCGATCGTTTAAAAGCTTTATTGGCCTAAAAGGATGTCAATGTGCATTCCCAACTCTCCAGGTTTTTTGTTGCTACCAGTGCTCCTGATTTGGTCTGTAGGAGTTATTTGGTTGTACCCATTTTTCCCCACATCCTTTATCTTTTGGCCTTGTCTTCAAGGAAGCTGGAACTCTCCTCCGCACGTATTGATTCGGTCTTACGCTCTCCTACTTTTGAAGTGATGTTTGCCAGGGACATATCCAAGGCCTGTGAAAATATCCTTGTACTTTTGTCAGCTTTGTTCAGTAGTCATTGGTTGAGAGGCCTAAGAAGGACTACATATCTCTTTGGCAGATAGCGAGTGACCAGTCCAAGCTTTAGCATTGTTCCAGCCGAGGTGAGTGGATGTTACTGAATACCTGCTACGAGGGATTCCTTGACTTGCAAATGCTCATCCTTTACAAGTGCAATCCTCTACAGTAATGTGACTTTAAAGACCCAACAGACACACGTTTCCTGTACTTAAGAGCAGCTGCTTCCTATTGTGTTCCAACTTGCGGACAAATCGACTTGAGGGTGGATTCCAGAATGGAACCTGTTCACAACCCAGGGAATACGTGTCTTTGCAACTGCAGGTCCTGACTCTTCACACTGCACTGGGCTCTCGGCTTTGGTTGTTCTCTTGATGTATATCCATCCTTTATAACCTCAACTCACCTTTTGGCTTTGGTCTTGATCACCCAGTCTGCAAAGCTCTCAGATTTCCACCTCAATAGTCGATGAAGTGGTGGAAAATGTTTTCTTGAGTGAAATCAGCAGCACTTGCAAAGTGTTAACCTGTTCCCAGATGCCCAGGTTAGCTGCTTCCAGGTCCATTCAGCTCCTAACTTTATTACAGCATTATTCCAAGCATGCACAAATGAACTGAGCTCAGTGGGAAATGAGAGTAACTGTCCTGAATATCAAGGCCACTACTGATGCAGTGGCATCAAGGAGCCTGAGTGAAATGGGTTTCAGTGAGGATCAGGGAAAAAGCTTTCTCCCTATAGAGTCTTACCAAAGTAAAATGGACAGCCATCTCAGCTCGAGGACATCTCTGCAGGAGTTCCTCAGGGTAGTGTCCTAGGCCCAACCATCTTCAGCTGCTTCATCAATGACCTTCCCTCCATCATAAGGTCAGAAGTGGGGATGTTCGCCAATGATTGCACAATGTTCAGCACCATTCATGACTCCTCAGATACTGAAACAGTCCATGTTCAAATGCCACAAGATCTGGACAATATCCAGGCTTGGGTTGACAAGTGGCAAGCAATGTTTACACCATACAAATGCCAGGCAATGACCATTTCCAACAATAGTCTATCTTAACTGTGTTACCCATTTGTCTCCCACTCTCCTCTGAGAAGCTGACTGGACTGAACTGGACCAGCCATGTAAACACTGGCTGCAAGATGACATCTTGCAGTTCACTGGACTTCCCAGTAACTTTTCAGCATCTTCAAGGCACAAGTCAGGAGTGTGATGGAATGCTCCCCGCTTGCCTGGATGGGTGCAGCTCCAACAACACTCAAGAAGCTTGACACTATCCAGGACAAAGCTGCCCTGCTTGATTGGCACCCTATTGAATAATTCTTAACAACATTCATTCCCTCCACCACTGGCACAATTCATCAAGGTTCTTCTGACCAATACCTCCCAAATACAAGTCTTTAAGCAGTTGGAAGATCAAGGCAGCGGAGACATGGGAATGCAATCACTTGCAAGTTCCCCTCAAGCCCAACCCATTCTAACGTGGAACTATGTTACAATGCAATCAATGTTGCTGGGTCAAAGTCCTGGAACTCCCTCCCTAGTGTCATTCTCTGGGTGCCCCTACAGCGTATGGACTTTTTCAGAAACACTGCTCAAGAAGGCAGTTCACTACCACCTTCTTGAGCAATTAGGGATGAACAATAAATGCTAGTCTAGCTGGTGATGCCCATGTGCCATGAATTGCTTTTATTTTTTAAAAAAAGTCCATAACTTTACAAAGTTCTTGTTTCAGCTAATTCTAAAATCTAGAATTGCATGACACATTGTAGGGTTAGATTTGGAACAATTGTGTAAACAGGGTGACAGTCAGTCAGTTACTTTTAATGGAGCTTAATGCAGCTTTATAACCCATTCCATGGATACATAAATGTACTTTCCAAATCCGATTTGTTGGAGTACTCCACTGTTTTGTAAACTAATTTGAATTGTTTTTGAAAATGTTTCCAAATGAGGTTGAACTCCCATTTCTGTGGGAGTTTTGGTTTTAAAGAATAATGACCCTATTCATACACACACATGCCTGGTCACTTTGATCTAGATTAGAGACATCTTGTAAAGGTCACCAGAGGTTCACAATTGAGAATCTGCTCAAGGCAGTGTTGCTGCATGATTGCAGTTATCAAGTGTAGAGTCTTAATGACCTTTTGATGAATAATTGTGACCAATAAGTGATTATGAAATACTGTGCTAATTATGCAGTTATTTTAAGGATTGCACAGTGATTACTACTTGTTACAATTCTTTGCGTTATGATTTTTCCAAGATATTAAATAGATTTGTATAATGAAATATTCATAACGACCTGACAAACTTGAAACTAAAAGGCTGATCACTAGCATCATAAAAACTAAAACCGACTCCAAAAATAAGTCTTCTCACATGAAAAAAAGGTATGCAGAATATCCACACTCCATTCCACTGTAAGGGGACAATGGAGAACTAACTTTAAAACTTTCTGTGACAACAAGGTGCTGGATGAACACAGCAGGCCAAGCAGCATCATAGCTTTTTGGGAGGTGTGCGTGTCTGAAAAGAATTAAAATGCCTGTGCAAAATGCATCGTAACTCCTAACTTTGTGTAGTAACCTCTTGTGTAGCACTTCATCGTTAGATATGTTTATGAAAATTCAAATTTACTGCATCTGTTAGTTTTCCCATTATCTGTCTCGCTAGTTAGTGTCAAAAATCTCAGTTTATCAAACGTGTTATGTCTTCCGTAAATGTTTGTTCGTAAGTTAGTAGTAACACAAATGAAAATGAATATTAGTGTCTTCCTACAAGGACTATGGTGATTTTATCATTACAAGTGGCCCATAGGGCTGTTCTCTCATGAGTGAAGTGGTGGTGAGTTTAACCTGAGGGTCACCACGCCACAGCTGAAGGGAGAAGTTGAGGTGAGTCATTGTTGGTAACTACAGCCAGTGTGCGAAGTGAACCCTCACTGTTGGTGTCATCTGCATCACAAATCCACCATCCAACCGACTGAGTTAACTGACCAACCTCTTATTCCTACAAAGCCAATATTGGTTAGTCTGCATAATCTGTGAAGTGTAAATTTGGTGCCAGACCTGAACTTTTTTGATTTGATTGATTATTGTTATGTGTACTGAGATAGTGAAAAGTACAGTTTTGTGTGCTCTCCTGGCAAGTCATACCTTGCATAAGCCCCCATTTCTGAAGAAGGGTCCCGGCCTGAAACGTCAACTTTTCTGCTCCTCTGATGCTGCCTGGCCTGCTGTGTTCATCCAGCATAACACTGTGTTATCCCTTACATGAGTACGTTTGGATAATAGAACAAAATGCAGTATACAGTGTTATAGCTACAGAGAAGGTTCAGAGAAAAATCAACTTTTAATATGAGATATGTTCGTAAGCCTGATAGTAGGGAAGAAGCTGTTCTTGAATCTTGATACGTATATTCAAACTTTTGTATCTTCCATCTGATGGAGGAGAGTATAACCAGGGTAGGAAGGGTCCTCGATTACATTGGCTGCTTTCCTGAGGCAACGGGAAGTGTAGATGGAATCAAGTGCAGCATCTTGGGGACTCTTCTTTGTTTAGCTCCCAACTTCGGATTAGGCCTTGATCCCATTGCAGTTAGTGCAGATACACCCATGAACTTTTTCTTAATTTCACATATCCATTTATTTAACAATTGCTGGAAAATGATTTTCATATGTTAAAGTTATCAAGATTTGTTGATCACATTTACTGATTTTGTTAAAGTCAATGGTCTTTTAACTGGTTATTGAATGTCTATGAAGTTTTGCGTTGCTGCATGCTACTTTCTGGTCATGTAACAATTGATGCTGTGAAAATGTTTTTAAATTTTTTTTTCCCCCTTAGTTTGTTGCTATCAATTTTTCCAAACAGATAAAAATGTTGTATCCCAAGCCTGGTTGGGTGGAGGTGAATCCAGACGAGATGTTCGAACAATTTGTTGCTGTTGTTAAGGAGGCAGTTGAAGGTAAGGAGAAATTTTGGTTTTCAGTGGAGTAACTTGTATTGAAGATTCAAAGAAACTGGTTTTGTTCCTTAACATCTACAAGATATTTTGTGAAGGCAAAAGCAAAATATCTGCTCAATTCCACTGCCATTTTTTTGTTCCCCACAGTATTTCTCCATTGCTGATGTAAGGGAGCTACATTAGTCTCCACTAATCTTTTTCTCTTCATATATTTTAAAAAAGCTTTTACGTTTTTATGTTCCTTGCAAGTTTACTCTCTCTCACTCTATTTTTACTCCCTTGATCAATCTTTTTGATCTCGTTGAATCCTAAACTGCTCCCAGTCCTCAGGCTTGCTACCTTATCTGGCAATTTTATGTCTCATCTGATACGATCACTAATTCCTCTTGTAAGCCATTGTTGAGCCACCTTGTTAACTTTTTTGCACCAGCTAAGAATGAATAATTGTTGTAACTCATGTGCAAGTTCCTTTTAGTATTAGCTACTGCCTATCCACTGCCAACCCTTTTTAATAATTAACCCATCTTTTTCAACTCAAACTTCATACCCTCATAGTTCCCTTTTTTATTTAGATTCAGGGCCCTTGTTTCGAATTTAACTTTTGTTTTCCATCTTAATGAGTGATCCAATCACTTAATGGTCGCTTTTCCTTAACGGACCCTTCACAACATGATTGTTAATTGATCCTTTCTTGTTACACAATTTGGAGGAACGTCCCAAAGTCTCTAATTATAGTCTGTCTTTACGTGTCTCCAATTCGGAAGGCACAGGAGGTCAGAGTATGAAGGTTGGAATATCTTTGAGGGTCGTGGGTTGGGCTGAGACTTGAGAGAGTTCAGATCTTTTTGTATGTGCTCAAAGGACATGGACGTCATTAGTGAGGTGGTCGTTTATTGCCCATCCATAATTACCATTTAACTGAGTTTCATTTCACAGGGCAGATGGATTGACCATATTGCTGTGTCCGTTAGTCATGTAGTCCAGATGGGTAAGGGTGGCAGATTTCTTTCCTGTGTAAGGGTAGTTGTGAATCTCAGGGCTCAATGGGGCAGTTATAGTGTCACTACCTCTGGACTAGGATGCCTGGGTTCAAATCTGGCCAGTTCTGGATATGTGTAACAACACAACTCAACAAATTGATTTTTAAAACAAAAATTTAGTGAGTTGAATTGGTTTTGACAGTTGGCAGTGTTTTCACAGCTACCATTACAGCTCCTAACTTCAGATTTTTTTTTTTTTAAAAACCAATTGATTTTCAATTCCATCAATTGGATTTGAACCCATATTTCTAGAGCATTGCCTTTTGGATTTTAAATTATTGGCCTGGTGACATTATCACTGCAATTGAGAGATTTGAAACCAAGGAAGGGAGTTTTTAAATAGAGGCCGAAAGAACTGTGGATGATGTAAATCAGGAACAAAAACAGAAGTTGCTGGAAAAACTCGGCAGGTCTGGCAGCATCTGTGAAGAAAAAAATCAGAGTTAACATTTTGGGTCCAGAGTTCTGAGGAAGGGTCGCTGGACCCGAAACATTAACTCTGATATTTTTCTTCTCAGATGCTGCCAGACCTGCTGAGCTTCTCCAGCACCTTTTTTGTTTTGTTTTAAATTGAGGTTGCTTGACTTGAAGCCCCTGTAAATGAAAGAACACAGGGTTGATAGAGAATGGGACTTGCTGCAGGCTAAGACGTGAAATCCAGCGCTATATCTCAAATACCTGGAGGGTAGCATGTTCAAAACCAGTTAGAAGTGTTTTGGAATAATCGAGTCCTGATGGAAGGGAGGCCGGAACCAAGATTTCAGCCAAAGATGCGATGAGCTGGAGCCTGAAGTTAGGCAGTGACAAAAGACCTCGTGAAAATTTCACAACTTTTCTTCCATGTCAGTGTTTCCTGTTTCAGCCTGATTTAACTAAAACAAAGAGCAAATAATTTTGCAACAGCATCCTCCCAAGTCTGTACTGTCTTTCTTTCCTGTTGAGCAACGTTGGTCTCTGATAAATGCACCTGCTGGCCCAGGGAAAGCCTGAAGGTCTCCACATGGAGGAGGCTTGGCTATGGTTCTAGGAAACTTGAGGGCAGAGAACTTGGGACAGTAGTTTATATAATCAGAATTTAAGGTTGGAGCAGAAGTATGAAGTGATTAATTTTGGAATGTCGAATTTGAATGCAGAATACAGGGTTAATGGCAGGATTCTTGGCAGTGTGGAGTAACAGGGATCTTGGAGTCCACATCCATAGATCCCTCAATGTTGCTACCCAAGTTGATAGGGTTGTAAAGAAGGCGTATGGTGTGTTGGCTTTCATCCGCAGGGGATTTGAGTTTAAGAGCTGTGAGGTTACGCTGCAGCTCTAAAACTCTGGTTAGACCACACTTGGAATGTTGTGTTCAGTTCTGGTCATCTCGTTATAGGAAGCTATAGAGAGGGTGCAGAGGAGATTTACCAGGATGCTCCCTGGACTGGAGGGCAGGTCTTATGAGGAAAGGTTGAGAGAGCTAGGGCTTTTTTCATTGAAGTGAAGAAGGATGAGAGGTGATTTGATAGGGGTGTACAAGATGGTGAGAGGCATAGATAGAGTGGATAGTCAGAGACTTTTTCCCAGGGTGGAAATGACTATTACGAGGGGGCATAATTTTAAGGTGACTGGAGGAAGGTATAGCGGAGATGTCAGAGGTAGGTTCTTCACACAGAGAATGGTGGGTGTGTGGAATGCGCTGCCGGCAGTGGAAGTGGAGTCAGATACTTTTAGGGACATTTAAGTGACTCTTGGATAGGCACGTGGAGGATAGTAAAATGTAGGGTATGCAGGGTAGTTTCTCCTTTAGAGTAGGATAATAGATCGGCACAACATCATGGGCCAAAGGGCCTGTACTGTACTGTTCTGTTATATATTTACTTGCAAAGCGGATTGATGCTTTTTAATGGGATAGTGAAAGACCGCTTTGGTTCCCTGAAGTAAATTGGTTATCTGAGCCCTAGTTATTGTTTTTGAAAACTGATGACTGTAGCATTGCTGCAGGTATCCTGTCCCTTTTTAATCAACCTTTTCCAAAAGTTTTTTTGCTTCACAAGACATGGAATCTCTTTGTGGAATTAATCTGATCCAACAGTAGAGTGTCACATGCAGTGCTCAAAGGTCTTGATTTAGATCTAAATACTGAATGTGGATTAGTTCAGTGACTCCCTGTTGCTGATAGCCCACCGCAGGTTATTACAGAATTGAGGGCATAGAATGAGGCCATTCAGCCCATCATGCCTGCACTGCCTCTTCAAGTGAGCAATATTCCCCAGTGCCAATCTCCTGCTCTTTCTGTATCTGCTTGCCCACCATTTCCATGCAAATAATCATCCAATGCCCCGCTTGAATGTCTGTTGAACCTGCCTCCTCCACATTTCCAGGCAGTGCATTCCACGCCCTAACTACTCACTGGGTGATAGAGTTGTTTTCCTCTCATCGCCTTTGCTTTGTCTGCCCATCTTGATCCAACTCGTCCATGTCGACCAGATACCCTAAATTAGTCTAGTCCCATTTGCCAGCATTTGGCCCATGTCCCTCTAAACCCTTCTTATTCATATACCCATCCAGATGTCTTTTTAAATGTTGTAATTGTACCAGCCTCCACCACTTCCTCTGGCAGCTCATTCTGTAGACGCACCACCCTCTGAAAATATTGCCCCTTAGGTCCCTTTAAATCTTACTCCTCTAACCTTAAACCTATCCCCTCTAGTTTTGGACTCGCCCCACTCCAGGGAAAATACCTTGGCTATTTATCCTATCCATGCCCGTCATGATTTTTCAACTTCTAATAAGGTCACCCCTCCGTCTGTGACACTCCAGGGAAAATAGCCCTGTCCTGTTCAGCTTGTCCCTATAGCTCAAACCCTCCAACCCTGGCAACACCCCTATCTACCTCATCCAGCTCATTTGTCATTTTGTCAACTTCTAACAAATGACCTCTCAGCCACTTTCTCTCCGAGATGATCAGTCCCAACTTCTGCAATCTGTCCTCAACACTGAAATTTCATGTTCCCAAAATCATTGTAAACCTCTTCTAAACTCTGTCCAATACTACGTCTTTGATATAACGCGGCACCTGTTGCTGTACACTGTGCTCCAGCTGGGATCTAAAAATGTGTTTGCATAAGCTTATCTGATTTTCCTTTTTAATTTCCTTAACCAGAATTGCTTGCTTAAACTGAAGATTTTAAAAGTACAGTATAATGTAAATTTTCAAGTTTGTCTCTTTCACATTTCAATCTAGAACTGCACTTGGTTGTAAGGACAGGAGGGAAATCTCACTCCTGTAAATAAATTAGGTTCAAAAATAAAGGGATAATGGACAAGCTTTTTGTAGAGAAGCCAAAGCTTGGAAATTTCCTGACTGTCTGTATTTAAGGGGTCCTCCCATGCAATATTATTGCTCAAGTTAGGCAGGGGGATCTAGGGGTTCAGGTACATAATTCTTTGAAATGTGTGTCACAGGTAGACAAGGTGGTTAAGAAGGCATTTACCATGCTTGCCTTCATCACTCAGACCTTTGAGTGGTGGCGGCTGGTACAATTACAACATTTAAAAGGCATCTGGATGGGTATATGAATAGGTTGTATTCCTGAGGTTGTACAGGACGTTGGTGAGGCCTCTTCTGGAGTACTGTGTGCAGTTCTGGTCACCATATTGTAGGAAGGTTGTTATTAAACTGGAGAGGGTTCAGATAAGATTTACCAGGATATTGCCAGGACTGGAAGGTTTGTTATAAAAACAAGCTGGGAATCTTTTTAGAGGTGACATCGGCAAGATGTTTTAAACATGCCTTTCAAAAGCTCCCCAAGTCCAGACTGTGGCTCAGGAGTCTTCCAACACGTGGTAAACCATGTATCCTCAAAATTGGCCCACGCCTGTGAAGGTTGCAAGAGGGATATGTTTACTGTGTCAATGGGACTGACCCATTTGGATTGTAGGATGCAGATTTGACCTTGTGCTGTGCCAGAGAAAATAGG